CAAAACAAAAAAAAAAAAAAAAAAAGATTTAAAGGAACATTTTAAAACAACTGTCTTTTGCAGTGTCAATGGGTGACAGGACAAAAGCCAGAACAATTACTTGCCAATTTTATGCCAGGAACTGAAAATAAACACTACTGTTGAGCATAGCGTCCAGTACATCTACATAAAGAGCTTTTAGCTCCATAAACAGTCAGTGAACCCCCCTTTTTCCAGTAAAGTCATTCCTTTCAGAGATAAACAAACTCCAATCTTTCGCATGAGCGCCACTTCTAATCTTTTGCCATTGTGGTACCTCCCATAACGCATAATGGGAAAAACCTAATTGTTTTTGGAACAAGAATGGTTATACTACATCGGTACGTTATTGGAGTTACTACCTTCATTTCTTCTCATCTCTTTAGATGCTGGCTGGCCTCTTCCAGAGTTCCTGTGCCCCATTTGGCTCTTCCTCGATGTGCTGTTTTCTACTGCATCCATTATGCACCTATGCGCCATTTCACTGGATCGTTACATTGCCATCAAGAAGCCAATCCAGCACAGCCAGTACAAATCCAGAGCCAAAGCAGTCTTAAAGATTGCACTGGTGTGGCTCATATCCATTTGTAAGTATACCAATTCAGATTTCCTTAACATCAATTTTACTCTTTACTTTACTAAGTTATTGCTCACGAAGAGTGTGATTACTTTTCAAATGATCCAACACATACCTGATTTACAGACAAATATTTTTTAAATAGATAAAGACACTAAAACAGCAACGTGTCAGCTAAAATGTATAGGAAAGAGACAGTCAATCTTAGAGAACTTACTGACAATGTCCTAAGTGGAAAACTGAGACAATTTTCATGAGAGACTGGAATTTAGCCAAAGGAGCTTCCGAAAACAAAGCAAGCTCCCCACTGTGGGTGATTTGGTGTAAAATTAGAGAACCAACACTACTTTGTTATGTTGTACCCGGTACTTTTTACCATACTGACTCTGAGAGATGAGGCAGTCCAAGTAACTACAAAACAGTGCTGATTTATTCCATGAACACAGGCAAAAAATTAACATTACACGCTCAGGCATCTTGCACCTCCAACCTGCACGCAGGCAGATGAAAGACCCTGAACCCACCAGGCCTATACATTATATCCCCTCGGTTGGGCTAGCCCCATACTACACAGAAACGTCAACCGAGACGTCTCTGTTGCCAACTATGCAGCTGGTCATAACAGTAGTCAAAACATGAAGCAAATCAATGTGTGTGTGTGTGTCTGTTGATTAAGTGGTGTGTAGCTAAAAACATTCTCACAGACTTCTAGTAACATGTCGTGACTTAAACATAAGAACATATTATGGCTAAGGCTACAGTTATACACGTCATAATAATAATATTAAACACCCTGTCTGCTGACAGTCATCAACTTTTCTCTAGTTATCCTTGACCAGATGTACCCTGTAGAAACTCATAAGCATGACTAAGCATTTAACAGTCTAACTAGACATCCTATCTCCACTAAACATTTCTAATACATAAAGTATCTAATTTCTATCTGACTAAAAATACCTAACAGTTACCAGACAATGACATATGGTTGCCTGAGAAAGGTCTTTTTTTTTCCTATTGCCTATTTCCTGCTCCATTGAAGTAGGCTAAAGCTGTAGAAAATGGTTTGTTTCAAAAGAACTGACATTTTAGAGAAATGTTGTAATACTGGTACCATCTGTAAGACTAGTCAACCACAAGCTTGCACAGGCGATGAAATGGGTGACTAGATGAAGACCTATCTTAAGAGTAACATTTTAAAAGTTACTTTATAGGTCTTGTATGAATGTTAAGGTTCATTGTTCAAGATTTGCTCATTTTAGTTTTCAAGTAAGAAACTAAAGAGCAAAAATTTGGCCCATTTAATTTGAGCACTAAAAAGCAGCCTGTTTAGTCATCAAGCTTGGTTTAGTTGAGCCTCATTTCATGAACAAATCCAGAAGATCAGATGGAATGAAGGGAGCAGCACTCAACACTGCTGATGGCAGAAGTCATTCCCTAGCTGTTTATCATTGCTGGGCCTAAGAGACATTATGGTTGGCTGTGGACAATTAGCTTATATAAATTTAAAAACAAAAGGGAAATCTAGAAATTAGTACTTGCCTTATTATTCTTGACACTTTTTTCATTAAGGAATCATCTTTTTACCCAATTTATACCACTACCATATTCATGAAATAAAAAAAATGAAACACTATTGCAGTTGGGGTTGAAAACTTAAAATGCAAGATACTTAACTGGTAATCAGAGTTATATAATTGTCATAACCAATGCATTTTTTTGTGTGTGTTTTTTTTTTTAAGGTATTGCAATCCCAATTCCAATTAAGGGGCTAAAGAACTATCACCTTCCGAACAACATCACCTTCAACAGTAATCACACATGCCTGCTAAAGACTGACACCTTCCGGGAGTTTATCATGTTTGGCTCCTTGGCAGCGTTCTTCATCCCTTTGACCATAATGATGGTCATCTACCTGCTTACTGTCCATGTGCTGCGCAAAAAGGTTTACTTGCTCAGGTCAAAGGTGACTCAGCGCTTTAGCTGCCAAACAATCTCTACAGTTTTTCAAAGGGAACAAGCTGCAGCCTCACTTCAAGTTGAACAACAAAACATGCTGGACAGCAGACTTCCCAGGATCCAAGAAAACCCAAATGCAGGCACAACAAACTCTCCCACAAGAGATCCAATCTCTTTTCGTAGAATGTCAACAATGGGCAAGAAGTCAATGCAGACTCTGAGCAATGAGCAGCGTGCCTCAAAGGTGTTAGGCATTGTCTTCCTCCTGTTTGTTGTCATGTGGTGCCCTTTCTTCATTACTAATATCACCTCTGTGCTCTGCACCAGCTGTGATGCTAATGTAATTACCCACCTCATGGAGATCTTTGTTTGGGTGGGTTATGTGTCATCGGGTATCAACCCGCTGGTCTACACCCTTTTCAACAAAACTTTCAGACAGGCGTTCACACGTTACATCACCTGCAATTACAAAGCCTGTGCTAGTAATGGGCTAGGAAGACACCCAAGGGCCTTGATTGCAGAACGGACCCTTACACGGATTTCATTAAGGTCTTCCATGGCAGAAAACTCTAAACTGTTCATGAAGCGGGGAATGAAAAATGGCATGGGAGCAGTGAGTTACCAAAGTCCAGTAAGGTGCCGGCCAGCACCCATACAACCATCCAGCGGTGGTATGTTAGACTCAATGCTTCTGACAGAAAATGAAGCGTGTAATAAGCACGAGGAACATGTTAGCTGTGTATAGAGCTACTTGGGGAAAAGAAAAAATAAAAATAAAAATCCAATTAAAAAGGAAGCCGCTGAAGAGGATCAGATTTATAGAGTGAATGTTTTAACTCTTTGAAGACAGACACCAAAAAAGGGATGATTGTAACCTGCTATTGCTCTCAGTTTGATCAACAATTAATTTAATGCCAGTGCTTAGTGTACACCACACAACAACAAAATCTTACCAGTTGTCTGATGTTGCTTTGTTTACATCAAATGTTTTAACGGGAAAAAAAACAAGGAAATTTCTTCAAGTATGTCATTTAGGAAACAAGTCTAACTCCTTATCAAAATATTACTCTGTGGGCCATATTAATATGAATTCTTCAAGACAACAAAACATTTTGTAACATACACAACACAACATACACTAACTAAACTTAAGATAGCCTGCAAGGGGTAAATTATAAAAAAATAAAAATAAAAAGATACACGCACGATGATATCCCCTGTGAAAGGTCCAAAGTCAACAGACTTTAATCAACCAGACAAAAACATGAGGAATGAAGACTTCGTGCTGACCTGGAAACCCACTGAATGCAGTATACGGGGTATTCCTTTGCTGATCTTTTTAACTCTGGCTATTTAAATATGCTGTAAACCATCTCATGCTTATATTTTGTTAAGACAGCCACAGCTCTGCCTTCCAAAGCTCTTCTACCAACTGACACAGAGAACAGACTGCACTCTAAATGATACTTAATGTATTTACTGGATCACTGGAAAGTGCTCTTGTATATGTATTACAGCCTGATATTTTGACATGTTAGAGGTTTCCAAATGAAAGGCTGAACAAAGAACAAAATCCAAAATAACTGAAAACCTAAATGTGCTCAATAAAAAAATTTTCTGTGATGCTGAAATTAAAGAAGTAGCCATTGTTCTTTTACTGTCGATGTCTACACATTTAATTTTATAATGGATAATCACCTTTATTTGGCCAAGTATGTTACACACACACACACACACACACACACACACACACAAGGAATCCGTTTCCGGTACAGTACCGAGGCAGCCATCTACAGTGCTAAATCACACCGACGGCTCTAACCCTCGGGGGCAACTTGGGGGTTCAGTGTCTTGCCCAAGGTCACTTCAACACGTGGACTGCGGGCACCGTGATTCGAACCTCCAACCCTCCGGTTGGGAGACGACCGCTCTACCCACTGAACTACAGTCGCCCCTTTATCAGCATATAGTGGCCTCTTTCATGAACCAGTGCTGACTAATGTGACAGCAACAATGACAGCAAGCCAGCATATGACATTTTAAACTGAAGCGTCAGTTAACAGGCAACCGAGTTAGCCAACAGCTAACAGGCGTTCACATTCTGTCCTTCGGGCATGAGAGAGCTAGACTTCTGCGTGTTCTGTCAGTGTACATTACGTCGCTAACGCAGTGAGGACATCACTATCCAAATGTGCAAAGAAAACAAAAGTTGACCAAGAAAACTAACTTTTCAAAAATGAGTGGACAGAGAAATATGTGTTCATTTTGAATCCAGCAAGAGGTCCTCCTATTTGATTTGCACACAGATTGAGAATACAGAGGTGAGGACAGCAAAACCTCAACAGTTAAAATATTCTTATGAATCAACAAACAAGTTGTTTTTGACATCTGTGACACAGCAAGAGAGCTACCGCAGAGGCCTCAGGCGTCGAACAGTAGCATCCCCCCCCATTGGACTAAGGTATATTTTGAGATGTGTCTATATTTTTGTCCTCCCCTGTTACATACATGAGAGGGTCAGAATATTAGGAACACCTATGAATATAATGTAGTCCACTACAACACCACCGTTAACTATGACCTATGAAACATAATTGAATTTATACATTTATGACAACTTCACTAAAACCAAATATTTTGAGCTTCATAAAGACATATTAAGGCAGAAGTGCTGCATTGAATTGCATACAGTTATTTAAAGATTATTACAACAAATCCATGGGCCTGTAGATTTAAGTAACAAAGTAAGAACACTGTAGGACGATGTATTCAACCATTTCTCTAGTCCCCGTCTGCATAATAATATCAGAATGTAATATTTTTGTAAGCAAGTACGCTTAGACGACCCGTCATTTTTTTAAATGAATGAACATGAATGATGCTGATTAAGTATGAAAATCAGAAAAGTGATGTGAGGTTAGAGGTTT